ACCCTGGGTGACAAGCTCGCGACGCATGTGGCATCTGACCAAACGAACTGGGACCTGGTTCTTCCGTTTGCGACCTATGCGTACAACACCGCTACCCAAGTCACCACCGGCTTTTCTCCATTCTACCTTCTATACGGACGTCAACCATCGCACACAATTGACACTTTGCTGCCATACGCACCAGATGTATTTGAATGCAAGACCGTGTCTGAAGCCGCCCGTCACGCCGAAGAATGCCGCCAACTAGCGAAGCAGTTTACTACGGCTGACCAGCAACGCCAGAAAAAGGCCCGCGATGACGACCACCCTCCTGCCGCCAAGTTCGCCCCTGGAACCCTTGTATGGCTGTATGTACCACCCTGTGCACCTGGTTTGTCTACCAAGCTACTTTCAAATTACCATGGCCCATACCGCGTGGTAGAGCGCACATCGCCCGTCAATTGAACCGCCATTGAATCGCTTACGCCACCCGGTGACCGTCGTCGGCGTGGACACGATATTGTTCACGTGGACCGCTTGAAGCCATACTTCGACCCGCTCGTTCCCACTTGTTAGATCGCCAGGATGGCTTGATCTTTCTCGACGGTGGCAATTATAATGAAGGAATGATGACAACAAAAGGGAACAGCAAGCATCATCGCAGAGTAAGGCACCACGAGATTGGCGCTCGAGCTCCTCCATCTTCCTCGTCCGGTCGCTATCTCCAATCTCCCACCTGCCCGTTTGGTTTGCCCAATAAACCTCTTTACAACATTAAGTATTTACATAGCAGAAAGCATTGCAGGTACTGACATTGTACTTACATAGCACAAAAAGTCAAAGGAAAAAGAAAAAGAAGGTTTCAACATTTATTCGAACACAGCAAAGTGAAAGCGAATGCATGTGAGTACATGACTTTACATGACGCTTCAAGCATAGTGGCGATTAAAGAACTTCATTTCTGATCGCATGCAGAAAAGAATCAATGTTGAAACGTTCTACCGCATGAGCAGATAAGGCGTTCCACTCGACGACTGTTCGAGGAAAGAAAGAGTACGTAAAAGTGTTTGTTCTGCACTTCAGCTCGGCCACCTTTTTTGCATGAAGAGACCGAGTAAAGCGGCTAATGGCAGGTTTTATGAATGCGGATGAATCAACTCCTAGCATTTTGTGATAGAACAAATAAAATAACTTTAACCTGTCATGACAGCACCTTGTTTCAAGTTTCTCTAGTCCTGCTTTCTGTAGGAGGTGGGACGGGGATGTTTTCCAACTATAACTATTATAAATGAACCTAACAGATTTTCTTTGGATACTTTCCAGCTTTAGTTTATTAGAGGCTGTCCAGGGATCCCAGGCCGCCGCTGCATACTCCAATATGGGCCTAATAAACGTCCTGTAGGCTAATAGTTTTATTTTCGTTGTTGAGTGACCCAGCGTGCGCCGAAGATATCCCAGTTGTCTGTAGGCTTTTTTAGCAATACACGTGACATGTTCATTCCAGCGCAAATCTGAGGTTATCATTACTCCTAAATACTTATAGCTTTGCATTAAGCTTAAAGGTTGATTATTGATGAAGTAGGTAAATTCAAGTGGTTTATTCTTGCGGGTTATAGTCGTTGCTACCGTTTTTTTACTACTAACTGTCATCTGCCATGTACAACACCCATTTGCAATTGCACTTAATGCTTGATTTAGTAGGACCTGATCATTAGGGCTAGATACTTCCTGGTATATTACGCAGTCGTCTGCGAATAGCCGAATTTGGATGCCTATGCTCTGAACAATATCATTAATATATAGCAGGAAAAATAGAGGACCGAGAATGGAGCCCTGCGTAACACCAGATGCCACCGGAGCTGAAGGAGAAGCTGTGCCATCAATGACCACACATTGCCACCTTGACAAGAGGTACGCAGCAATCCAGGCCAAAAGGCGATCATTTTTGAGAATGGGCTTCAGTTTTAGTATCAGCTTGGAATGGGATACCCGGTCAAAGGCTTCTTCGAAGTCTAGAAATATTATTTGGAATGGGAGACCCGGTCAAAGGCTTCTTCGAAGTCTAGAAATATTATATCTACCTGATTGTCTGTCTAATGCTAAAGCGAGGTCATGTATTGTTAAGACTAGCTGGGTTACTGCAAACATCCCTCTACGAAATCCATGTAGCCAATGGTCGATCAAATTATTGTTCTCAACAAAGGAAGATATGTGCTTAAATATAATATGTTCAAACAGCTTCACAGAAGTACATAAAATCGATATAGGCCTGTATGAAAAAGGTGATGATTGGTCGCCTGATTTAGGTATGGGGGTAATTTTAGCAAATCTCCAGTCATCTGGAAGTTCCACACGAATCAGTGATTTGCGATATAGCAGAGTTAAATACTTCGCGCACCATTCAGCATATCACACAAGGAAAGCGTTCGGTATTTAATAAATACCAGGAGATTTCTTTGTGTCTAATTTAAGGAGCAACATCCGGACCCCCTCCTCACTAATGAATATGTCATCAATCGGCAATATTTCTTCGAGATGCGAAGTTTTTGGAGCACTGCCATTATCCTGAGTGAACACAGAACAGAAATATGTGTTAAGTACTTGAGCTATTTCAAGTTTGTCGTCGAGTACTGTGTCATCGGCGGACAGACGCGGCAGGGACTTCTTTCGCGGTGACAAGTGTCGCCAGAACTTATCAGGGGATGAGAGAAGAAAGTTTTTCAGTGTCACGTTTTGGAAGTGCACTTTTGCTTTTTTGATACCATTTCCTATCATAGTGCGTAGCTCAGTAATCTTTTCAGTGTTAGCGTTTGTTGGATGACCTTTGTGCCTAGTTCTCTCCTTTTTAAGCTTACGCCCCATTCGAACGAGGTCCCTCGTCAACCAAGGGTTACAGCTGCGCACAATTTTTTGTTTTCTTGGCACGAACTGCGCAATGCATCGAAAAACCAGTTCCTTAAAGAAACGCCACATTTGTTCGACGGAGCCATCAGTTGATTCGTACAGTGCTGAAGTCGGAGAACCTGAAGTCGGAGAACCAACTACCAAGTAAATCTAGTACGTCGACGTCACTAGCATGTGTAAACAACAGGATTATACTTTCTTTTATTTGAAGTTTCGAAGAAAACTGCACTTCTAAAGTAAGGATACCATCTTGTGATCAGACATTCCTTCAAAAATATCTATTCTTGGATTCCTCCTAAAAGCTCATTAGAAACAAGAAAAAGGTCCAAAATAGACCACGCTGTTTGTTGAGTGCGTGTGGGGGATTTAACTAATTGGGTTAAATTGTGCAAGATAACGAGGTCAACGAATGATTGAGACGCGTCAGTAAGAGCTTCTGGGAAATAGTCTGACCAATTAATTGCTGGTAAGTTGAAATCACCCGCGAGTAACAGGTTGCCAGAACGAATAGTGTTCAAACACAAGAACTCGTTTAGGTTTTCAGCAAAGAAACTATCACAGCTCGGTGGGTGGTATATACCCACAACAATCAGGTTGCATTCTTCAAGGAATAGTTTAAGCACAACACTTTCAATGCCCGGCACATTCGGTAATCTCGACGGCCGCAGCGATTCCTTGAGAAAAATGGAGACTCTGCCTCCCCTACCGTCACGATCGTTACGGTAGATTCTGAAGCCCTTTGGTATTAACTCGTGGTCACTGACGTCTTGATGGAGCCAGGTTTCGGTTACAACTATGATGTGCGGATTGTGTGCCATAATAATACTTTCCAAATCAGCTAACTTGTTAAGAATGCTACGAGCATTGATATTTAGGCAACGGATACTTTTCCTGCAACCTCTACTAGTTCACCGATTGCGTCTAAGCCTACTCGTGCTCTGAACCTCAGAAGCAGAAGGCACCTTATCTGTAAGAATAGGAACCCTCTTGTTTAGGCTGCTATCCCATCGAAACAGAGTACCATCGATGTTTACCTTGTCATATGTGAGTTTCACTTTCTTTCCCTCGTTTCTCTCTTTTGCAGCACTATCCCACAACTGCTTGCGCAGTATCCTAGTGGCAGTAGAAAAATCTTCACTGACTGAAACGTTCTGGCCTTTAAGCTTGTGGCAATTTCTTAAAACATTTATTTTTTCGCGGTAGTCAATGAACTTTAGGACAACCGGTCGCGATTTGTTTGCTTGTCTGCGTCCTATTCTATGAATTCGCTCAACAGATTTCACTTAGACATTTAGTGTCGTCGCAAATAAGTCATCAACCACATTCGCGAAAAGCGATTGTGGCGTGTCACTCGCCACCTCTGGAAGGCCAAATACAAGAAGATTATTGCGACGGCTTCTGTCGTCTAGGTCAACGAGTTTCATTTCCAAGTTAAGAATGCTTTTTTCAAATCCCGTGATTTTGGCACCAAACTCTTTTAGCGTTGACGTAGACGTCTCAACCTTTTGTATTTAGAATCAATTACGTCCAGCCTATTTCGCATGAGCTTTTGGCACTCCAAAAGTTGCTGAAGCAGATCATAACACACTAGTTAACATACTAGTAAACACACTAGTAAACACACTAGTGTAAAAATGCGCACAGAGCGCCACTGGCAGAGAAATGCTACTGCTCCAATCCAGCCACACCAGCTCACAGCAAGCCCCCTTTTTACAAAAGGCTGACATCCCTTCCTCCAAGGCACCTTTCTGAGGGTCATGCCAACTAAAAACAGCCTGAAGAGGTGAAGCTTACTGGTCGAAGACAGTGTGGCACGCACAAATGAGTTTGAAAACCCTTCCCACACACTAAACGAGCCTCCCCATCAATCAGAGACTAGCCAGCTCCTCCATTATATCAAGTACCTACATTAACAGGCGAGAGAGCCGCTCTTATTGGCCTGCTCAGCAATCAGCAAGCCACAATGGCACATGGACCCTTCCTTTCCGCGGCACGAAAATGATGTAGTGCAGCAAATTTGGAGGCTCACATTTTGCCGCCAGCATCATGCCCAACATATTTTAATGCTAGTGTGTGCCCCATTACGGCCAAACTAGGATATTGGGCCTGCAAATCACCTGCAGCCGGTGCACCTCTTGGGATGGCCTTCGTAGACTTTGGCAGTGGTGGCTGATCAGACCGTGCTGTCTCCGCCTGACCTGAAGACTCTGGTGGTGGACCGGACTCTGGTGGTGGACCGGACATGGTTCGAGGACAGAGGGGCCTGGCACCACTATTGAAAGGCTGTAATTGTCTTAGTTGTTTAACCATTTGCTGAATTCGAAGCTGTTATCATAAAAAGCACAGACAAAACTTGTATGAACACACATAAATCACAGTACGTCATGTTTTATATTAGAAGAAAGTGCATCAAAGAAATGCCTAGTAATCCAACGATCTAACAGCAGCAGTACTTTACCAGCAAAGTAAATAAATAAAATAAATAAATAATCTACCACTATTAGTTTTGTCTTTCACAAGTGTATCTATGCAGATGGCTGCGCACGAAAGACTGCAACACTACTTTGTCTTCTACAAAAAATCACCACAAATAGAATCTTGTCTCTCCAGTCTTTTAAAAGGACCGAAACCAATTTTTTTTCGACCCAGCTTTTCCGTTGCGACCATAAGCCTACCCTTCACGGTGTTCGCAGCTGCAGTACTTGCCCCCGAAACACGTAGTTATCTCATAAGCAGTATTTTTCAATTTCTATGGCTCTGAACACCGATGTGCCTTTTTGTCTAGCAACGCTGAGAATTCATAGCAATGCAAGTGGTCCTTCTAGCGGCTTGTCCATGCAGTCTTATTTTGCTTTCGCGGGAGTTCTTGTAGCTATGCTTAACCACGTTTCTTCTGAGCTTTACATCTCTGTTTAAAAATAACGAGCCGTTACAATGAGACAATGTGGCTTTATACAGCTTCCCTGTATTTGTACTGCAGTGCGTACACCTGTGCCCAAGGTTCAATTGCCTCTTTTGTGGATGGCTTGTCTCGTCGTCGTTACTCCCTCAATACACGAGCCAAGCCAAGTCACAGAAACGTCACTGTGAGTTATTTCTGAGACATACAGTAGATAAAAAAACCACATCACTCCAAAATCTTAGGGACTTGGAAACCATGCACGGTTTTATGAGCACGCAAAAATTTTCTCAAGACGCGTTGATGAGCACGGGATTATAACGAGAAATACGAGATATGATTCTGCCATTGCTAATGCATTTAATACTTATTTCACACCTGTTTTCACCCATGACAACCTCGTCGTTCTTCCTCCTTCACAACAGTCTCAAAGTTCAATTATTAATACTTTTGTTTCAAATCAGGAAGTATTGAACTTGACCTTAAAATTAGTTTCCAAAAAGAAGGGTAGTCCACAAAATATAGACAATGCATTCCTCCCTAAATATTCATTATGGACTAGTCACTATTTAACTATTATTTTTCAAAGATCCCTATCAAGCTCGAATGTTCCTCAAACATGAAAGTCCGCTAAAATTCTCCCTTCATTTAAATCTGCAAACAAACAGTCCTTACTGAATTATACAGCAATTTCTTTTACATCTCATTCAGGCAAAATGCTCAAATACACAATATACAAACACCTTATTGAATTTTTGGAATCAGATAACATTTTATGCGATCTCAGCATGGTTTTTAACATGATCACAGCACCCTATCCCAACTCAGTAAATTTGCTTACGATATCATCGCAGCTATCGATGTAGGCGACCATATCAACGCGATCTTCATTGATTTTTCAAAAGCATGCGATACTGTATCGAACTAGGATGATAGTGTATAGAGCTTGCTTTTAGTTTCGCTTACATTCACGAGATAGTCCCATGGTTCATTTTTTTTTAGTTTGCCTACATCCTTTCGGAGCAGGTTTGGAACAATAAGTAGCAAATATTACACTTTGGAGCAGCATGGAACAGCATTTCTTTTTTGGAGCAGTTTGGAGCAGCACTTCATCACTGCTTAGTACTCTCTCTTTTCGTCATCACATCGAATCATTAAAGTTCTTTTCCACTCCCATTCACAGTCCACGATTTCCTTCACTCAGCGACTACATCCCACCTGCCAAACCGACCTCCACCAGACATCATCATGGGTTGAACATGTCTCCTATAAAACACCGAACAGACTCGTACAAATAGTTGTTTTTATACGCAACATTGAACTATGGAATGCACTGCCCAGCCACGTTAAATCTTCATCACATGATGAATTCATTTTGTACACGAATAACCACTGATCTTCATGCTCTGTACCTGTTGCGCTGTACAGCAATTTCTCTTGTATTCTGTATCCACTCCTGCGATAGCCTATCAAGGCTGAAGTATGCTAAAATGAATAAAAAATAATAAATTATGCCATGCAAAAATCCTTACGTCATAACGTCACTTTATTGCGCACTACTAACGCAGGCCTATAAGTACATTTTTATGGAGTAATATCTTTTACTATAAAAACGAAAACAATATTTCAGTTATAAAAGAAAAATTGTTGACCTGCGTACACCAGTTTACAGTCACATGACAGGGCAGATCCGATAATAGAGGTTTCCGCCACCAGGTGGTGCCACAGGCTATTTTCCAGATTTTCAGTTGAGAAATGAAGATACAACTCCGCTTCTCACGAGAAAAACAGGGTTGGTTTGAGTCACCATGAGGGACAATCTTTCCACTCGTGCAATCATCTCATTTCATGTTCTGGGCAGTTGTCTGTCCCTTTAAAGGGGTACTGACCCGGAAATTTTCAGTTGTTTTTCACATAAAGTGAAAGTCCAAGCCTTCAAATCTTAGAAAATTTACTGCAAGGTGCGAGCACATCAAGAAAAATTACAACAGGATTTTAAAATATACAGTCGGATACAACTTGAAAATTCCAGAAAAGAAACGCCCAGACGACCAAAGTGCGGCAGCCATTCAACTAAAGACAGTCACACTGACGCATGCGACGTTCTCCAAAGACAGGGTCACCTAAAGCCCCTAGAACTTCGCAATGTAGCAACACGCTCCTCCTCCGCTCGCGATTTTCCTCGATCTCTTTCGCAATGTACCTTCGCACTCCGATTTCGGACGTGGTGCCACTTGCCTTGCTCCTGCGTAGAAGCCAACCTTTCGCGAAGAGAGCGTTTGCTCGGCAGGGAGCGCGCTTAGAGCATTCGCGCGAGCCGTCTAACTCATCCTAAATTTATCTTAACAAGTTTAGCGTAAGGCCATATCCACTCTGTTTAGTGCCATGCGCAACACATACTTGTGATCAGGCCTTGATCGAGTTACTCGGCGTCGCAGTGACCGGATGTTAACTTTTTGTACGCACCACCCATTAGTATGCATGTTTTTAAACATAAAAATGTGCTCGTTACTGAGAACCCCCATTTTTTCGTGGCCCATCGTTCAAGGCGCCTCCGAATAAGCTTTACACTGTAAATAACATCGCTCAAACATTCATAGTGCAGCTTCTATGGCTTACCTTTCTGTTAGCTGGCACGATAGCACCCGATGGGATAGTGCGACTGTCTTTCCTTACTCAGCGCATGGGTGGAGCAAGCTTGGCCATCTATAGAGTATACAATGTGTGCAAGATGTGGAGATAGGTTTGCACTAGGCTTACCTACTAAGCGCAACCGTGTAATGATGCGACGTCCTCCACTGCCGCTGCGTGCGACGACGCTGCGGCTGGGTTCGTCGTTTTCTCCGACACGGCGCAGAAACCACGCACGAGGCAGGAAAACAAGAACAACGGGTTTATTAACCCAAGATGCAGCACAGTGCGACACTCACGGGCTTGAAGGCCGTACAGGGAACTCCGCAAGACCGAGCAAGTACGCTTGCCTAGGGCGCGACGACTCCCGCACAAGGGCCGAAGTCGAACGCACGAACGAGAAGCCGCCTGCTAAGCAGCGCGTCAACCTCTCGTGGAGGCCTGAGAGCATCTGCCGCGACGAGCGAATCGTTGGGCGCAACAGAGCTTGAGGAGAGGAGGATGTCACGCGCACCCAAAGGGAAATGGCGCTGCGTTGTGACGTAGACCCACGCAGCGTAGCGTGCCCGGACATGCCAGCGCAGGACGAAGCCAAAGTTTGGCTCGCCCAGACCAAGAGGCGAATGCCGGTGATTATACGTGGTCGGGCTACGCGGTCAGCGGGCGCGTGGCAGCTGGGGAACGAGGCGCCTGGTAGGGGGGGCGCTCTTGATTCCCACAAAGAAAGCATTCTCGGTGACTGTCATGCAGTGCAAGCAACAACTTGCATTGACGCTGTCGATGCGGGACAGCGATGTCGCCAACTGCCAATTTTAATTGATGAAGCATTGAAGTCCTTAATGATGCGTCAGAAGGCGCACATCATTTATAGTTGATACATTCGTACAGCTGTGGTCGTTTCGTGAAGTGTTTAGACGCATCAATCATATTTCATAAGTGCGCCTTGTGGACGTATCTCACATACGAATTATAAAGCCAAAAATAAACTATCACATGAAATGGCATGTATGTCTGAGGTTCGTAAATGATGCATGCACCCAATGACTCGAAAGCATGCACGCTTTGCATAGCTGCCCTCGCATTGCGAGTCCCCCAGCTGATCAGTCAATGTAAAAGAGCCACAGAGAGCAATTTGTTCTGAAATGTACTAGTCTGCAACAAACTCCAACAGAGAGTACCAATCTTAATGAGACTTGATAAGACAGATGCTTGGGCTAGTTAGTGATGCGAGGTGCTTCACTACAGTTTTGTATATTCAAAACAGCAACGCGAAATCTCTTAAGTTCCGCAATCACAATTTGGAGAGTCTTTCTGTGTACATTTTAAGTGCACCAACCAGTATCGCGAACTCAAACCAGTCGGCGCATAACGACAAGCAGAACCCGTAAGCATGTATTGTTGACAAAAAAAAAACAGCCCTCGAAGAAGCGTTAATGAAACCTCGGCGAGAGATCAAGACGTCCTGCACATTTAACTGTGACTTGTCTACGGTGTCAAAGCAGGCATTGAACTGAGCAAACATCAAACCATACTCATAGAGATGCGCAACTCATTTCACAAAGTGGATTCGAAAATGACGGCCTGAAGTTCTCACTTCCAATTCTTTGCAACTGTCTTTTGTCACAACTCGTCGCGCTTAACACATTGTATCATAAAGAGCTTCGGCCGTCTCTAGACTAGTTCTGCCATCAGAAGCCGCAACAATCGCCGGCGGCGACGAACAGCGACGTCATTCTCGGATGAAAAATATTTC